GGGGTCCACAATAAGTACATTTATTTTTAGTTGACCCCTCTGTTTCCAATATGTATTCCTTAATTTTTGAAGAAGATTATAATTGATTTGTAATGCTTTGTTGGAAACAGAAACAAAAACTTGATGTTAAACATGACTAGTAATTGATAAACAGTGAGCCAGGAAACGCAACGTGAAGGTGAAAAGCACGTAAAATTTCGCGGGCTTTTAGAGCCCATGATAAATGATAAAGACTTGCAAATATATACTTTAGACATAATAAATACGAAGATAAGAGAAATGAAAATTGAACATGATTAGTAATGGATAAACAGTGAGCCAGGGAACGCACCGCGAAGGTGAAAAGCACGTAAAATTTCGCGGGAATATAAATGATAAAGACTATGCAAATACATAATTAGTGTCCTTTAGACATACGAAGATAAGAGACATGGAATAGATAGGTATGATGCGCCAAGTTTGAATCGATCTTTGACCTTTCCTCATTATAGAACACTTGAAACAATGGCGCCACTTTCCTCAATGTTCTTGGTTTTGATGATTGCTGTAACAGCAATGGCAGCTGACTGGCAAGGTGAGTCCATGATGAATAAACAGTTTTTAAGTAGAGAATAATTTTAGAAAACGAATTTATCACAATGTATCTGTTTCACAGAAGAGTGTATATGTCATATGTAATCTATCCGAAGTAACATTGTTCAGTGAAAGACTGAGCATATCATTTCGTAATCATCGCTAACAAAACATTTAAAAGAGCAGGTTTTAAAAGAAGAAAGCGAGATTGGTGGGAGGTGAACGTGAGGGAAAAAACAAGCGAGATAGGAGAGAGAGAGAGAGAGAGAGAGAGAGGGAGGAGAGAGAGAGGGGGAGGAGAGAGAGAGAGAGGGGAGGAGAGAGAGAGAGGGGAGGAGAGAGAGAGAGGGGGGGAGGAGAGAGAGAGAGAGAGAGAGAGAGAGGAGAAAATGGCAATAGGGAGAAGGGCAGAGGGGGGATGGGAAGGGGGTATTATAGTACCCATCCATAGTCGTGCCACAGTGGGAGCACTGTGGTATATTGGTTTAGGCTCTCGACTCTTGTTCGAGAGGCCCAGGGTTCGATCTTTTCTCATTACTTGCTTCCTCAAATTACTATGATGATATTACCAATAAGTTACTGAAAAGAAATATTTTACCTGTAACTCATATTATGAATATGTCAATGTTAAATGGCATAGTACCCGACTATTCTTGTCTCCAAGCTGTATACATTTAATAACGGTATGGCCATGCCAACTATGTTCATATTATACTCATATCGAGAACAAACTACATTGTAATACTGGTTCAATAAGCCGCAGATATATTCCATTCCCTTTCCCTTTGTTTTTTTTTTGTTTTCATAGGTTTTTATTCATTTCTCTCAAAGAAAAATTGTACATTTATAACATTGGATACAAAATAACAAAATAATTTAACATATGTCTTTATAAATTCACCAATGATCTTTTACATTTACATACAAAAGTTACACCACTTCATTTTCCTTTGGAGACAAAAAAAAATAAAAATATATATATATATATAAAAAAAGAAAAAAAGCTACAAAACACCTACTACCCCCCCCCCCCACCCCACACAACATTTAAACACATAACATGTACAACAGTATACAAAACACACACTAACATAGAACGAACAAACAAACAAAAGTAGAGGGGAAAAAAAAAAGAGAGAAGAGAGGAGGGTCAGGAAGTTGTATATTGAGAAAAAAAAAAAATAAAAACATTTATTCTAAACTTTCCAAAGCTTCCCATTTCCTTAAATGAATTGAAAGTGTGTCTCTTTCCATTGAAAGTTTTTTCTCTTCATTTCTATTTTCCAACAATCTATATTCTATTTCTTTTGCTTTTGGAGGGTTTCCCTTCTCTCTACTGTGGAAAATCATATATTTAATCAAAATTAAAATGTGGTTCAATAATTGCTCTGTTTTAAAAGTAGTGTCATCTATTCCTATATGAATTTCTTTCCAGGATAATTTCTTCAGAATTGGTAAATTAAGTCTATCTCCACATTTCCCCCAGACTTCCTTTATTGTATTACATTCAAAGAATACATGTTGATAAGTTTCTTCAAAATTTTTGCAAAATGAGCACAAACCATTTTCATGGAACCTGAATCTATGTAAATGATGATTTGTATATAAAATATTATGCAATAATTTGAACTGAAATTCTCGCAGTTTACTACTTAAGGTACACATCCTTGGTTGAACATATATCTTTTTTATTTCTTTTCTTGGAATATTGTAAAGTGTCATTAAATTGCCGCCTGCCGAGTTTGTTTCTACATTCTTTTTAATTTGACTCTTATATACCATTTTTGCAGTTAAATCTTCAAATGTAAACACTTTCTTTGAAAAAATAAATTCTAAACTAAAGCCAGTGTGAATTGCCTTTCTTAAAGGTTGAACATTCTGTTTCCATTCATAAGGGGCTGCTTTAAAATTTGTGTTTACTTTATCAATTTCCACTCTGCTCAAACATAACATTATAAAATGAACTTCAGGTTTCAATTCTCCATTTTCTTCACAAATGTGATGAATTCGATATATATTTTTAAAAAACAAAGTTTCCTCAAATAAGGTTTGACCTTCACCGAGTTGAAGGACCGCAACACTGTAAAAAAGAATTTGTTCATTGATAATTTTTACGTATTTTTTCCATGTAGAATTTACTTGAAAACATTAGTTTTGCCACTTACGCACTAAATTTAAGTCTTGCTAACTCAAACTTTCAATTTAGTAGAACATACGTGGAATATTTAAGTAAAATCAAATACATAAGAACTTTAAGTAATTTCAGCTTGTATTAATTTAGTAATTTTAACTCAAAATCAGAAATTATACGTATTACTCAAACAATTTATGTTGATTATTCTTATCTTTTTAAAGTAAGGACCGATGCAGTGCGTAATAGAAATATTTACATAATTTATGAATATTCATTAAGACCAAATCAAACTCTTTTTTAAATAAAACAATTCTTTTTTGTGGTTGAATGAAAAATTTAAGGACTTTAAAACATTTACTAATTCATTTAACATGGCTAAGCAAAGACAAGACAATGTTTAATTGTTACCCAGTTCAAAACAAATCAAAACTTGATATTTCAGGAAATTGTCAACCAATTTTCCTTTTAAGATGCTACGATCAAGTATATATAAAATTTGGAGCCTTTCAATATGTGTCGAATTGAAGCGTGTGTTAGTGATTAGTGATTAATCTTAAATAGAAGTAGTGAATGATTAATGGATGTTACTTGTTAGATTAGATGGGTACCAAATCGTGCAATATGTAATCCCATCATAGCTTTTTTTTAATTATCTAAAATGATTAAAATACTTAAATTATTTACGTTAATGTAACTCGATTTAACTGAGTAAAAATTTATTCAGCAAAATAAGTAAACTCTACTTAAGATGCCATAGGTAATATTTACTTTATAAAAATAAGGCAATTCTTTTCCTCAATTTTATTGAGTTATTTCGACTATTATTTTTTTACAGTGAATGGCTCCTCGCTGCAAGCAATAAAGAAGTATCGGTTCATGTATCCCTGTAATCTCCCTTTCCCATATGTATTTTTTATAAACTTAACTCTAATAGTAAATATTCCCAACCGTTTTTCCATGAAAATAAGACATAAGACAGACTTTCAAAAATCTTTCAACACTTAAATGTCTGAAATTATATAGAGAGCCAATTCATTGCTTTGTGACAATTTACATTCACCTAACATGTAATTAAATTGTAATAATAATAATAATAATAATAATAGTACATTTATAAAGCGCAGAAACTATCCAACATTAGGTATACATTCTACTGCGCTACAAGAGCTCCTGATATGCTTAGATTTACGGTACAGTTAATTAAAAAGAAGTGTTTTCAGTTTTGACTTAAAGACGTTTACAGATGGTGATTTCCTGACTTCAAATGGCAAGTTATTCCAGAGTTTTGGGGCTGCACAAGCAAATGCTCGATCACCTAGCGTTATTTTTGTTTTGATAGATGGGATCTGTAGCAACAAAGTATCTCGGGAACTGCGCAAGTTGCGATTGTGTTGATTAGGTTTGAAATTCAACAGTTCTTTGATATAAGTGGGAGCTTGACCAAGAAGTGCTTTATATACAATCAGCAAGATTTTGAATGTTATTCTCTGGCGTACTGGTAACCAATGTAGATTTCTTAAAATTGGGGTGATCCGTGTGAATTTAGAACAACTACAGATCAGCCTTGCAGTTTGGAGATTAAAGAATCGATCATATCAGTTTTTCCCAACTTTTTTCATGAATATTGGTCTGTTTTCACTCAAACTTTCAGATTATCTGTAATAAATAATAACAATAGTGGGTTCTTGTATAGCGCTCATGTCAGTCAGTTTTGACCCTTCTGGCGCTCCCGATTATTACCCTGGCTTTAGCACGGCTGCTCTAGCATTTCAAGGAATAAATTCCTACCAGGTATTCCTATATCTAGCATTGAAATCACTCTCGTCTGAACAATGTTATCATTGTCATCATTACCATCCCCATCATGATCATCATCATTAGTATCATTATAATTTTGATTATTATGAATATTATCGTTATTATCATTATATTTACAATTTTTATTATTGTGAACGTTGTTATTATCATTATTATTATTATCATAAACGTCATCATAATCATTATTTTATTGTTGTTATTGTTATTATTATTATTATTATTATTATTATTATTATTATTATTATTATTATTATTATTATCATTATTATCATCATTGTCATCATTGTTTTTATTACTATTAACATTTTCACTATTGCCATTATTATTTACAATAAGATTAATTATTATTACTGTTTCCATTAGTATTAGTATCATTATTGTATTATCATTATCATCATCACCATCATTCCGCATAGATTAAATCATATCTTTGTTCCATCTAACTTTTTTCTTCTATATTAAGCAAATCCTAAAGATTGTGGGAAGACTAAGTACCAAGGAATGAACATCAAGATCGTCGGCGGTCACCAGGCAAAAGACCATGCGTGGCCTTGGCAGGTTGCTATGTTCGAGGATGGCGAGTTCATCTGCGGAGGCTCCTTGATTGACCCGTGGTGGGTCATGACAGCTGCACATTGCGTGTAAGTTAATCATGTTGCGCATGTTTCTTTATGACAGCATGAATATCTTTATTTTCTAATATTTTATGTAAATATATATATTTATATATACATGTTTATAATTTGTGCATAATCCTGTAACTGTGAAGGCTCCTTGATTGACCCATTGTCAGTCTTGAAAGCTGCACATTGCGTGTAAGTCAACGATGATGAGATGATGATGATGATGATGATGTTGTTGATGATGATGATGATGGTGATAAGTAACATCGTTTTCAAAATGGTAGAAAAGCACCCTTTAACATGCAACCCCCGGCCCCCCACTCCGGGGTCGGAATGACCTCATGCGTGTTACGAAAATGTCCGGTAAAGGGGTACTTTTCGTGCGACAAAGTCCGGCCCGAGAATTGTAAAAAAAAAGGGGTGTATTTGACTTTTCACCCGGAGATTTCTTTGAAAAGGGGGTGTTTTTCTTTTTTTCTCTCATCTCTTTGGACTCCTGAGAAATTATTCCGAATTTAGGGGGTACATTGAGCATTTTTCCGTATTTAGGGGGTCTCCAAGGCAGGAAAAGCCCGTGAAAAGCCCGCGAAAGGGGGGTTCGGAAATGTTGGCAGTCCTCAGATAGGAGGTGCTTTCAAAAAGAGGGAACGAGCATACGCGTACCCTAAATAACACTGAGTGGGGGGGGGGGGCGGGATGCAACCTCTATAGTGTTGAATCTTTGAGCCTATGGAAGCAGGTGTACTGCGGTTTGTCTTACGCCCAGCACACACGATTCGATCATCCTGCGATCCCATTTTCGAAGAAATCGCAATCATATTAGCTGTGGAAATGTAAACAAACATCGCCATGAAATGATAAGAATACAAATAACCGGAATTGTAATGCTTTTAAGCCTTCTATTGAGAATAAAATCCGAATCGTCATGAAATCGGAGACAATCGCACGTATACTGGTTTAACGCCACTACGAGCCTGAGGCGATTTAGCTCTTCTTCCTCCAAGAAAGCTTGGAATCAATTGAAAGTTAGAATGTATTAATCATGTGACTACTGAGGTCCTCGATCATTAAGATTTGATACAAGTTTGAATGTTTATATCAGATGCTATTGCAAAATCCTTCCAAAATCGGATCGTAGTCAGATCATGTAGCATGCGGTCAGCGAATTTGGGAGTGAAAAGGCACCTCTATGCGGCCCCAAGGTTCTTGGCTGGATATTTAAACGGTGATCACATCAATCTTCGGTCTGCAGTGCCCTCTAAAGTATTCATGTGCGAATAATGTACAGATCTGATTGCATTATCTGTCACTATAAATAATATATAGTGACAGAAAATATAAATATATATATACAATTATATTTTATATGATTATAAATTTAAAAAACACTTTAAAAAAGGTTTTAACAAAATCATTTAATGCCACATTCTATTTCCTTTTCTTTTGAAGCACTACTTCTTTAGTCTGCAAGCCAGAAGTATACACTTTTAGAGTCGGTTCAAACAATTTAACTGATGACACTCACGAACGTCAGGCCTCAATAATCCTGGTCCATCCCAATATACGACTTTAAAGATGGAAGTAATTTCGACAATGATATCGCTTTGATTAAGATGAACGGTTCGTTTACCCTCAGCAAAGATTTCAAAGTGAATACGATTTGTCTTCCCACTGGAGCCATGGATGACCAGTTCGTCGTCGGGCAGAAAGCAACAGTCACTGGATGAGGAAATCTAAATAGTAGTGGTGAGGACAATTATGGGCCATTATGGGGAGAAATATTGGTCTTCAGTTTTAGTGTTAGATTCATCGTCTGTGAATACTTTTTGACTGCATGTCCTGTGACGTGGCATTATTTTATAAGGAGGATTACAAGTTGTGGTAATCAGTATGGATATCATTTTGTTTGTCTGTTTAATGTATTGTTCCAAATCCCATACACATACCAAGGTCTCATACCAAGGAGGATATCCTCCTTGCTCATACGTAAGATTTAACAATAGAATACATAATAACGCAATGATCTGTTGATCTGTAAGATAGACAAAATATGATTTAGATATATCGACTGCTTCGAGAGGCCTGGCTATTTTATAGGCTCTAGGAAACGTTGCATCCTCCCATGACCCCCAAGAGCCAACATAAAGGCCTCGAATATTAAAGCAGTCTTTTATATACCGAATTGACACAAAAATCTACCAAGAATTCTTACTTTATCCTTTTCTTGAGTAAAGATTGGTTTATAAAACATCACGGAAAATCTGAGACACTGTCTGTTAATCTTCGCTGGAAAGATGACTGAATGTTAAAATTATTTGGGAATCGCAGACAAAAAGCACTGTATGGTATCCGCGCTCACTTTTTTTATTTGGGGATCGCAGCAAAAATTTACTATTTTCCCGGTACCCGGATTCTTGCGGGAATCTCACTCATGAACTATTAACCGGTACTGGCATTGTTTGTTCTTTACGGGAATGGCTAAAATCACAACTCCAATTTCGACCAATCAGATGGCTAGATTTCTAAAGAAAGGTATATAATGTGAACTATTGGCAGCTGCATTTTATTTAGATAATAGGCCTAAGATATAAATATCTGTAGGTTTTCTTGAGTGGCGGTTGATGGTGGAACAAGTGACAAGAAAAAAGGTATTTATAATTTCCATCGGGGTCTGCTCACTATTCATAACGTGAGGTGAGGGTCGCTATTCATAATTCACATTGAGGGTCATTACTCATAAGGACCGCTATTCATAATACGAAATCGGGGTCGCTATTCATAAACATGAAGAAGGGGCGCTATTCATAATTTACATTGGGGGTCACTACTCGTAAGGACCGCTATTCATAATACGAAATCGGGGTCGCTATTCATAACACGGAATGGGGATCGCTATTCATAATACGAGAAGAGGGTTTTTATTCATAAATACGAAACGAGGGTCGCTATTTATAATAGAGAAAAGGGTCGCTATTCATAATACGAGAAGAGGGTTGCTATTCATAATACGGAATGAGGGTCGCTATTCATAATAGGAGAAGAAGGTTGCTATTCATCGTAAGCCCACATCAATGGTACAATATCCAATGGAACAATATGTTTCCCAACTCTTGTTATTCAGGTCGAAAATGCATTTCCATTTAAGAAAACTTTTACATTCACCTCTCCTTCTCTTATTATAAAATTGCATAGATATGTGAACATCTTTTAATACGTTTCATAACCAATGCCATTGTATCTGGTAAAAGGGGTTGTGGCACCCTGTTAAAAAAAAGTACAATTGCTAAACCCTTCTCTAATTGCCTCGCATAATCCACGATAAAAAGAAAAATTATTTTAATATTATACGTATCTTGATATCTTCCAGAGAGAAAAAAAATCACCATTTGTCTCTAAAATATCATTGACAAAACGAACTCCCCTCTTACACAATTTTAAAAAACTATATATTGGGCTATTGCCTATTTCAATTGAATCGTTATTCCATAAGGGTTGGCAGAAAATGTTACCACAATGCGTGGACAAGAGTGTACTATAACCCATGAACATTTCTTTCCCCAAAAAAGTTCTTTGTTTAACCTGCCATTTCCCGAGTGTAATTGTTTCCCATATATCATTTTAATTAATGCGGTTCAGGTAAGAAACATTGGAATAAGACAGAGGATATTGCGATCTATTGGGCCACTTATCAATCTCTTAATCCGGTAAATTTTTAATCATTGTTAAAAATATAAAGAAAATTACAAATACATCAATATGGAAAAGAAACAAAAGTTAGTTCAAGGAAAGAATAACAATTAAATTAATGGAAACTTCAATATTATTAGGTATTGCATTTTGTTGGAAATGAAAAAAATAAAATAAAACGAAATGAAAATGAAATATACATGTATTGCATTTTATACATAATATAAATCGAATTAACATACATGGATAAGTGGGAAAAAAGAAAAAGAGAATAAACAAAGCGTCATTCCCTTTTTTTCGTAACATTTAGATTTTTAGCGTTTAAACACAATTAACAGAAATGTATATATAAACATAACGTGATGATGATAATCCCGGATATACTTGTATTGCAAATAAACAGATCTACTAGCAAATATGAAGTAAGTTGGAAAGTAAGAAATGAAATAGGAAGCTGAAGAAGAAGATCTAAATAAATGAGCGTGTTTAAATTTATGCGTAAACATGTGAAAAAATAACAAAATCAAACGCAGTGTCTCTTTCTGGCCTTACTCTACTATAGATGCTTTAAAGTAAAGGGTTGAAATGGGTGCATAAACCATGTAAACGGAATAAAATTCCATATCATGAATGACCCTTATGAATATTGACCCTTTTCTCAAATTATGAATAGCGAGGTTACCCCTTCCCATCATCCGTTATCAGTGGCGTACCCAGCCTAAAGATGAGTTGGTTTGAGTCCCCCGTAAAGAACTGGATAAAAAGAAAAGAAAACTTTCAGAGGGTAACCGGCAGGGTTTCAAAAATGGGTCAAGCTCGCTTTCCACAAGGACCGCTATTCATAAAGACAATTATTCATAAGGACCGATATCCATAACGTAGAACAAAATGAATAACGATCCTTATATGCATAGGGGCCCTTATAAATAGACCTCGGTGTAACCTTAATTGTATCCATCTTTTTATACCAGAAATAATGATACGCTTAGGGGTTTATTTTTCGCGAGGGGGGGGGGGATATTTTTGTCCGAAAATCAACTTTCCAGATTCATTCATTTTGCGAGAATGGTTAAACGTGTACTTAGTTATGTGATCAAACTACACTAGATAAGCTATAAAATTTACATATTCGGTCTCTCCGTTGCCCGAATTTCACAATTATTGGGGGGGGGGTGGGGTGCTACGCCTACTCCAACCCCAGTTCGTTTATGCAAATAATCATATATTTCTAATTGATTTTCTTTTCTTTAATAGCGCCCAAATACCCTGAGATGTTATATGAGGCAGATATTCCCATCTATGACTGGACAAAGTGCAATCAGTCCCTTGGAGGGA